CATAATATTTGAATTAAATAATTGATTAAAAAACCGAATTAGATTTAAATTAAAAAATTTAAATCAACTGAATTTCCAAAAACTTAATTGGGGTCTCACAGCTTAATTAGGGCCCATAACTTAATTGAATAAATTAAGTATACCAAAGTGGACCCATGAAAAGCTGAGGCTTAACCATAGTGAACACGAAGTTCGCTTGACTTCGAACGCGAGGTTCGACTGTATTGAGTACGAGACTCACTTAAGCACGAACGCGAGGTTCGTCTGAAAATGAACGAACGTGAGGTTCGTTTGATAAAAGAACGCGAGGTTCGACTGAAGTACGAACGCGAGGTTCGTTAAAAAAAATGAACGCGAGGTTCAACTGAAGTACGAACGCGAGGTTCGTCTGAAGTACGAACGCGAGGTTCGTCTGAAGTTCGAACGCGAGGCTCGACTGAAGCACGAACGCGAGGTTCGTCTGAAGTACGAACGCGAGGTTCGTCTGAAGTACGAACGCGAGGCTCGACTGAAGTACGAACGCGAGGTTCGTCTGAAGTACGAACGCGAGGTTCGTCTGAAGTACGAACGCGAGGTTCGTCTGAAGTACGAACGCGAGGTTCGTCTGAAGTACGAACGCGAGGTTCGTCTGAAGTACGAACGCGAGGTTCGTCTGAAGAACGAACGCGAGGTTCGTTAAAAAATTGAGCTTGACGCTCACCTGAGTTGAACGCGAGGTTCACCTTAGAACGAACGCGAGGTTCGTTAAAATTGAGCTTGACGCTCACCTGAGTTGAACGCGAGGTTCACCTTAGAACGAACGCGAGGTTCGTTAAAATTGAGCTTGACGCTCACCTGAGTTGAACGCGAGGTTCACCTTAGAACGAACGCGAGGTTCGTTGAGCGCGAAGCTCGGTTAAAATTGAACGAACGCGAAGTTCGTTTGAGGTAACCACCTCCTTAATTTTCGCCATGAACCCTTAGGGTTTCAAACTGAAACCGCCGCCGCCAAACCCAAAAAATTCCTCGATTTTTATTTTCAAAACCAGATCCAGAATCGGAAAAGCAAAAGATGATTTCTTGTTCCAGATCCCAAAAAATTGAAGGAAAAATCGAAGAAAAAATCCAAAAATTCCAAAAAGTCACTGTTCACCGGCGTTTTTTCAGTTACTGTTCACCCGGAAAAACTTTACTGTTCACCTGGAAAAAATTTTCGTTACTGTTCATCCGAACAAAAAATACTGTTCATCCGAAAAACAAAACTGAATCTTTAACCAGAGGTTTAAGATCAAAAAACCCAATAAAACTTAAATCCCTAAGAATTAATCAAGGTGGCTCTGATACCACTTGTTAGATCTAAATCAAAACTTGAGATCTAAAACCATATAGCCATGATTAATTCGAAGAGATTAACAAGAATCTAAAAGAGCGAAAGCTTATACCTGAATCCATAGAAGAAATCTTGATTTGGGTTTTTTGATGATCTTCTAACCTTAGGGTTTCTCTAAATCCGAAATTTCTCTTTCTAGATGGGGGTGAAGAGAATTAGAGAATGTTAACCCTAGGTTAGGGACCATAACCCCTTATTTATAGATGTTGTACTTTTTGTAATTTAGCCCCTCAATAAATCACAATTACAACATGGTATCTGTACATATAACCCCATAATTATATTTAAATACCCATTAACCCAACTTAATTGATCACTTTAGTGGGTTATCCTGAAAGATAGCAATACACATTGATTAATCATATGTGCCCACAAATAGATTTATTATATTAAATCCAACATCAATCTCCTTAGCCACCGACAAAGGTAGTTTCAAGGTCTGCATAGTATATGTCGCAATCATGCTAGTGACCGATTGGACTAAAGTGGCTCGATCTACCGGCGGGTGACAAGTGCTTGGCTTTCCAGGATGCAAGCTTCATCTTTATCTTATGGAGGATATGGTCATAGGTTCTAGTATTCACCTTCTGAGTGTGTAATGGGACACCCAAATACATACCCAAGTCAATGTAGTGCGAAATACCCGAGCTTGGCTATATATTATTCACCATGGACCTAGCAACATTAGGAGAGGTGATAAAGCGAGACTTAGCCAGGTTAATTTTCTCACCCGAAGAATCACAAAAATTATTGAGGCACTTCATCGTAGCTTGACACTACTCTACCGAAGCTTCACCCATAAGAATTAGATCATCCGCAAACATGAGATGTGATAATGGGGCCCCCCCACGTGATGCAAGGAACGGTTTCCTCACACCCTTCATCACTTCCGCTTCAATCATTACTGACAATTTATTCAAACAGAGCACGGATAAATATGAGGAAAGAGGGTCACCTTGTCGCAATCCTCTTGAAGGCTTGAAGTACGAGGTCATTTCCCCATTCCAGAGCAGATTCATTTCAGTGGAAGAAATACAAAACATTATAAGTGAGATAAGAGTGGAAGGAAGGCCGAGATCCATAAGAACCCACCGCAAGAACTCCCAACTAATCCGATCATAAGCCTTTTCCAGATCAATCTTCATAACCATGGCCCCGAGCTTGCCCTTCTTATGCATCAAAAAATGCATGATTTCTTGAATTATTACAATGTTACCTTTCTATTTTTCTATTCTCCTTCTTATGCATTGTCCTTAGGACAATGGTTAGCAAAATTCTATTTCATATCTCAGTTTCCATAATTTGTTATCTCAATATTGGTTTGTAAAAATTGAATGACATACAGGACTAATCTAAAAAATTTGTTAGTGGTCTGACGGTATTTGTCTTTGAAAAACATAGTTCAACTTGGTTGTTTTAAGAAAACAGTCTAAGATATTTTTTTATGAAATAGTATGAAATTTTGTGAAGGTTAAAATTTAACATGTAATAATTGTACTTCATTATAGATATAGTAATTCGAATTTACTTTACATGAAAAATTAAAAAAAAAGTTTCTTTTTTGCGTTAACGTTTGCTCTCCAGACACTCTCCACATACGCAGATGTGGTTGGGGGTGAGATGGGGGGAGGTTGAGGGATAAGAAATGATTCTTTTTTGTTTTTGTTTTAAGAATAGACAGTAAAAAAGAACCCCCATTGTTTCATTAATCTAAAGAAAAACATTTCAACTATATCCATCCCTTGTTCTTCATAACTATCTCTTACCACTAATTATCTTTAATGTCCCACTTACCCACCCATCCCTCCAACTTCTCATCATTTTTTAACCTAAAGATTGAATTGTGTGTACATGCATAGCGTGCACAAGAGAAATACTAGTAAGAGAAATATTCTAAGAAAGTCAAAAGTATGTCAAAGCAAAAAAGATGAAATACAAGGAAACAAAACTGAGACTCACCATAAGAATGATTAGGAGAGACATAAAAAATTTGCAAAAACAAGAGTCAAAATACATAATATTTATGTAACCTGTACAAAACAACAAAAGAGTGCTCCATATGTTCTTAGCTAAAGGACATCTTATACCTCCATTATTAAAATAAGTGTATAAGTTCCTCTAACCTCAAACTCCCCTTTGTTACACCACTTCCGTTGAGGTTAAAAATAATCTGATTGGATTGAGATTAATTCGTTAACAAGTTTTTCATATCCCTCTTTTTAAAAGTATTGTCAAAAACTAAAAGGGAATTTCTGAGAGAGAGATACATTATTATACCATTTATCCTGCTGGAAAATAAAAGTATTTCCCTTCCCAACAATAAAGAAAATCATACATATGAACCAATCTTGGCAACCATTGTGTTTTTTTGGTTGTGTTTTTTAAAAAAACACCATGTCATGGTGTTTATTTTTCAAAAGTGTTTTCAAAACACCATTTTAAGTTTTATCATATGATACACACCCAACCAATTAAACCTTACTCTCGCCCGTTGCCACTCCCCACCACCAACCACTTGTCGGCCATCCGTCGTCACCGGCCGTCGCCTCCGGCCCGCCGCCTCCGGTCATCGTTCCGGCGTCGCCATCGCGGCCGTCGCCCGGCAACGATGGTTGTAATTTTTTTCTTTACATTTTAACTTTCATGTTCATTCTTGGTATTTATTTTAATTTGTAACTCCAGGAGTGAGCCGCATCCAACTTAAAGATGAGGCATATGGCAAATAGCAGTCTTTGGGGAACGATTGATGCGATAATTAAATTGGCCCTCTGGTTCCAGACTGAAAGCTTGTACATTGTAATCATTTTGATATTTTTTTCTTCGTGTAACGAAGGGGAAAGCTTGTTGGTGGGTCTTCTTTGTTGTATAACCTGAGAAGCTTGCATGATAAAATATTGTGATCTGTAAGAGGTTGAATTATAATTGTCGTAAATTTTGCGCAACCCGTCGGTCAGACTTTGCTTGCCCTGTATGTACTCAAATTTTCTTATATTTTTGATGTGTTATTATCCTCGTGTGCTAACGCTATTCATGCTTCTGCCAAGCATTTTTGCTTGCGGTAAGGAGCATAGAAATTTTGTGAGATGTTAAGCATTTCGGATGGTGGCCGATCAATCTTATGTTTGCTGATGTTAGATTTATATGCGAAGTTTTATTGGCCAAACGCGCAGTATGTAATGCAACACTCAAATCTGCAAGAAGTAATGAAGCGACGTGTGAGCGAGTGGCATTCAAAAGATATAGACGGCTGCGTGAACGTAACAAACCGAGGAGCAACATATATCTCATATCTATATATGCTCATGATACGTATCTAATTGTAGTACAATGGGCAAATTTATAAAAGCCTAATACGTTCACCACCATCATAAAACAACGAGGAATAATTGTTCAACATGTTCTAATAACATTGATATTATATATTACATTAGCCTCAAAATGTATTTTAGTGACATTACAATATAATATAACACTAATTTCAAAACACAAACACCGAATACCCACCACGCATCGTTCCAGCATCCTTTGGGGCCAAACGCATCTCGAAACCTTGACATCTCACTTAAGGTGCTCCGGGTGCCGACATTACCGGTATGGTTTGTTGTTCTTGTGCAGTCATATACATCTTCTATCAAAGCTCGACATCTTCATTTTCAAACTCGACAAATAATGGATCTCCAGAATCATGCATTCTAATCACGTTGTGAATAACGCAACATGCTAATGCTATATATTTTTGTTTTCTCAAACTATATGACGGCATATCTCTTAAAACTGGAAATCTTTTTTTCAATACCCCAAAGCATCGTTCTATAACATTCCTTAATGACGAATGCAAGTAATTGAATAGTTCTCTAGTACCTTGCGGTGGAAGATTTTGCCCTCGATAATCATTCAAATGATATCGTTCTCCACGGTACGGTGAAAGAAAACCCGGCATATTGGTATATCCAGAGTCAACCAAATAATACTTTCTTGCAGGGGGCATAGGGAATTTGTTTGCGGGATTGCTAATGCACTCTAAGAAAATTCTTGAATCATTTGCACTTCCTTCCCATCCACTCATAACAAATGTGAACCGCATATCAAAAGAGCAAGCACACATCATATTCATTGTCGGCACAATTTTCTTTCCACGATATGGAACTTGACTATCTTGCGGCACACAAGCTGAAACATGAGTTCCATCTATAGCACCTACACAATTCTGTCATGTAATATAGATATTACTATTAGAACGATAGTAAAAAAATTCACATAATTAATGTAGGAAGGAATATATACATACCTTGAAATAAGGATAATACTTTGTGGTATATGATATCTCTGGTGGAGTTGCATCGTATGATGGAGGAACGATCACATATTTGGTTAGAGAGCAAATTGCATAAATGACCTTCTTAAAATATGTAGAGATGGTCTCTAGTGAATGCTGAAAACGATCTGCGGCCATACGTTGGCGTTCACTATGAGAAAGCACAAATAAAAAGATTGCTACTTGTTCTTGAATCGTCAAGTTTCTAGAATGTTTTAATTTTCCAATTCTCTTTAACTCTTCACAAAGGTTAATAAATGCCTCTTTTTTCATTCGGAAGAGGTCAAAACAAGTACCCGGGTACCTAGAACCTCAATCACCCAATCATGCCCACTTAATTTTGAAATCCTTTGTGGTCGAGGCTGCTCCATAAAAGATCCATTAATCTCCATAAATGCATGAATAGTCAATAACACTTGAAATTGCTCCTCATCTGAATCAGAGTCTGAATCAGATTGTGATGATAGTTGATAATCATCTGTATCTGTATTACCATCCATACCTACAAAGTATAATAACATTTAACACAAATACACATGTCAACAACATAAACAAGTATAATAAAATTTAACACAAATACACATGTCAACAACATAAGGCATGAATAAATTTACATAAGGCATGAAACACAAGTCAACAACATAAACAAGTATAATACCAACAATGTTGTGGAAATACACATATATAGGTTCAAAAACTAACACAAATACACCCAAAAGTCCTCGACCTACTAGAACACAAGCATAATTTTAAACACACACAAAAGTCGTCGTCCTACTAGAATCAAACATATAGAAACACACACAAAGTCCTTGGCCTAATAGAAACAAACACAAACATAAACAAATACAAATTTCTTCGAAACAAACATAAACAACATCAAGGTAGATTTAACACCCAATCCTTCTTTCTCTCGCTAGGCATGGCTAAAAACATGGTTCTCCATGATGCATCATCATGCAAAATATGTGCGGCCTTGGAAAACTGAGTTGAGTCAACACCGGGAAGAGCACTAAGTTCAGTGATGCACTGAACCATTCCTTGTTCTTCCTCGGAGTTTCTTCCTCTCCCTCCACTAACATGACTATCTGCAGTAGTCGAACTCATTTTCCTCTCCCTCAACTCCATTTTCTTCCTAGAGTTTTCTCCCATTGAGGTTAAAGCTTCAACCATTGCTAATTGGATTTGCTGGTTCAATGGTACACGTTTGATGGTAGGACTTTTAGTAGAAGGATGAGCATGATCACCAGTAGCAGTTGTATCACCAAAAATGATGCACAACTTGTCATAACCTTTGCAACCCTTCCTTCTAAAATATCTTGCGTACTTGTGCGTCTACGTAAAACAAAAAATAATAACGAATTCAAACTCACATATGGAATCTAATAAAAATTGCATTAATCAATGAGTATTACCGCATACAACTTAGTCCACACATCTTCCGTTGCAGATATTTGACCGGTGCTCACAGTATACCCAACTGCCGTATCTGTCAATAGACTTTTTAAATTTCTCCATCTTTGTCTCAATTGGTTAAACTTATTTTTCATTTGGTCATGAGTGTATTCTCTCCCCGTCTTCTTTTTCAACTCATGCTCCATGAATTTCCAAGATGATCTAGTAAATGTAGTTGTATGCCTATTTCCCTTTTTCACTTCTTCCACCATCAAGTCTATGAAATAAAGCTCCACATTTTCAGACCAAAACCCCACTCCTTGAGAAGGGGAAATCTCCACCACTTCGTTGACATCACGATTTTCACTTGACATCTATTACAGTCACAACAACATCAAACCAAAAAGAATATTGATATGTCGTTAGAGAGTTTATTTGAATGAAATAAAAAGTGGAATCAACAACATAGGATGAAACTAGAATAAAATTATCCACATGAAAAGTGGAATCAACATGTATTTATTGTGGAATCAACATAGGATGAAACATGAATAAGTAGAAACATCATTATTAACTACTTCTTATCAAAATAAGTAGAAACATCCTTATAAGAACAATTCCAGACCGCCCTAAGTCAGAGGCTGGAAAAGTTGGCATTTTAAATGCACATAATAAACATGTTATAATAGTAACTTATATAATTATTGAAAATAGCTGTTTGGTAATGTTTAGCAAAATCTATTTACCACAAACAGTTGTGTTTCGTAATAATGTGCCTAGAAATAATTATAAGTGAAAATGATCAGAACAAACCTAAGTTTAGTTTCAAGTTTATATACAGAAAGAAAAAACATTATCAAAAGCTAATGGATAGATATGTCATAAAAACTACCAAAAACATAAACTACATTTAAAAATATCGTCAATTTGTTTCTGAAAACATGCCTCTTGAAAGCAACGTTTCTACTGAGCATGCACGAAAAAGTTTTAGCGAATAACATTTATTGACTTGTTGTCTCACAGAAACACTACCAAAGAAAACAATACCAAAGTGTTATCCATAATCCGCTCTGGGTTATTTTTGTTAACAAAATCAAATAAAATATCCCAGCAGCTCAAACAATTGTCTGAAAATGACAAATGATGAACTGGAAAATCTCCAGTGTACGCTAACCCCAGCAGCTCAAGCAAGTCGCTATTCTTACAAACTGTAGAAATCCAAGTTTGACAGGATTTCTCCTAATCAGATCACCATTCTAATCTCCCACATTTTTCATTTTAATGACATCCAAATTGATAGTTTTACTACTTTAATTCACATACTTTGGTCCACAGAAACTAAAAATAAAAGGGGAACAAATATCACACAGTTATTATTTCAGCAATAAACGAGGAAAAAAACCGACCTTGATCGAAAGTGTTGGAGGCGTCGGAGAGTCGGAAGCTTCAGCGATGTCGGAGGAAGTGTCAGAGGGTCGGAGGCGGCGTCGGATGGTTGGAGCTGCGCCGATTTGGAGTGGAGGTCGCGTCGAAGGCTTCAGCGAGGTCGGAGGCTTCAGCGAGGTCGGAGGTTTCGTCGGAGGCTTCAGCGAGGTCGGAAGTTGCGTCGGAGGGTCGGAGGCGGCGTTGGAGGGTCGGAGCGGCGCCGATTTGGAGCGGAGGCGACGAAGTTAGGGTTGAGGGAGATCAAATGGGATCGGGGTTTGATTTGGGGGAAATGAGACGGAAAGTTGAAAACACCTTTTAGGTGTTTTGGAAAAAGTGTGGATTTTCTGTGTTTTGTGAAGGGGCAGCTCAAAAAAACACCCCAGTTCCCAAACATGGTTACTAGTGTTTTTTTGAAAAAAAAAAACGAAAATGGGAGAAACACAATGGTAGCCAAACGCTCTCGGTTTTCATTAGCCTTTCCAAAGGGCTGAAGAAATTTCTAGAGTTTTCCTCCCCAGCCCTCCACCTGCCGCCACTAGGAAGATGATGATGAGTAATAAAGCCCCAGCCAAGATTTATTAGTTTCTCAGAACATTTTCGACCGCCGTTTTAAAAGCAAAGCATTACTGAAATGTGAAATCCCTCAAGTTAGAAAAACCCGCAACCCAAATTCTTTCCTTTACACGCCTGACCGCAGCGCGCTAAATCTTGTTAGGTACATTGGTTACGAGGGGCAAAGTTTAACCTGTTAAACATTATCCCTATCTTTATCTATGTTTGTTATCCATCCTTCTAGACGCTACCAAAAAATAAAGTTCAAACACATATGAAGGTAAACTTTTAACAAACTTAAAAATGTTCTGAAAAAATTCAAAACTTTAAAAAAAACTTAAAAATTTCGAAGCATACAAATAGGCCATGACCAAACTTAAAATTTATAGAAAATACCCTAAAAGTTTTTAAATTGGGAGAATGCCCTAAACAATTTGAAATTCACAAGAAAACACTAATTTTTTTTAAAAAAAATACAAACAATATATTAAAATTCTAGGAATTCAAAACAGCCTCCTAAAAAATTGAAATTTGTCGAAAACACTTTGAATGTTTTGTAAATTGCAAAAAGCCTTAAATTTCAAATTTTATAAAGAACACCGTGAAAATTTCAATCGTACAAACAATAACTGAAAATATAAGAATTACAAGTAGACCTCTAAATTTTTTAGAATTTATAGAAAGCACCCTAGAAGCTTTAATAGTTACAAAAGACAACTTAAGAAATTCTAACCTGTAAACAGTATACTGACAATATAGATTGCAAACAACCCCCTCAAAATTTGGACTTTCTAGAAAACACCCTAGAAGTTTAAATATTACAATAAACACCATAACAAAATAAAAAATTATAAAAAAAAACTCTTTAAATTTCAAACATACAAGTAGTAAATTAAGAATTTTATAAATTTAAAATTTGCAAAAAACATCCTAAAAGTTTAGAAAATTACAGACAACACCCTAAAATTGAAATTTACAAAAAATAGTTGTTTATAAGTTTTGATCTTTTCAAGGGCTTTTTTTGTAAATTTTGAATTTTTGAGGGTGTTTTGAGAATTTTTGAAACTTTAAGGGTGTTATCTTTAAATTCCAAAACTTTTAGGGGGATGTTTGTAATTCTATATTGTCAATGTACTTTTTCATAGGTTTGAAATTTATATATAGGGTGTTTTTTAGAACTTTTTGAATTTTATGAAGGTGTTTTCTATAAATTTTGAATTGTGCATAAGGCTTCTTATAATTGTCAAATGTTTCGGGAGGTTGTTTATAAGTTTATTATTTTGAGGGGCCTTTTTATAATTTATGCATTTACAGTTGAGAGTAATAGAGATCCTTTTGTGATAAATTTTAACTCTTATGATATGTTATACCATAGAAACTTTTTCCCCACCAACTGTTCTAGGGTAATATCATGTTACACTTTAGCCCTAATTGCTTTAACCTCATACCAAACAAGCTCTTAAGTTATATCCTCCCTTTATTTATTGGATCCATGCTACAAAATCTTCTTCTTATCCCATCAATTTCTTTTTCTACCCATGTTGGAAGACAGAAGAATGAAAGGAGATAAGTATGAAAAGCTGATATAATAGAATTAATAAGATCAATTCTATTTCTACCTTCTAGGGATAAATATTTTTCTTTCCATCATTCTAATCTCTTTCTAACTTTATTAATAAGAGGTTTCCGATCTGAAGTCCTTGAATCGAGCAATTAAACACCATCAACATAAGAAAACACTCTCAGTGAAAGATTTCCCAAGAAAACGAGAGAGCTTTTATTGAAGTTAATTTTAAGAGCTGCCACTTTTCAAAACAAAATAAAACCCACTTGAGGATCATTGCTTGTGGAAGGCGAGCTTTGCAGAAGAGTATGGTGTCATCTGCATATTGAAGGTTAACAGCTAAGTTCACTTTAGATTTTTGGTCCCACGCCTTCTATAAATTGTTGGCATTTAGGGGGTGTTTGGTTCAATTTCTACAAATTATAAGAAATGTTTTCCACCCAAAATATGATTTTCTTGCATTTCTTAAAAATATTATAGGAATAGTTTTGAGAAGTCAAAAAGTATCAATTTTCTTATTTTTTGTACTTTGTTTGTTTAGTTCAAAACAAGAAAATGGCTCGTAACTTTATAGAAAATAACAAGATTTTCTATAATTTGTAGAAATTGAACCAAACACCCCCTAAATTTATAGAAAAGTGTCAACTTTATAGAAAAATGAAGGATGGAGTGTTAGATTTCTAGATGATTTCCGTCCATTTTGAGAGGAAATTGATTTCTGTAAATTTTGGTATTTTTCTGTACTTTACAGAAAATATTTCTGTAAATTTTTTTGAACTAAACACAGTTTACAAAAATCTACAGAAAATTTTTAATTACAGAAATACCATTATCAGTCCTTTTGAGAAAACTTTTCTATAAAATTGTTAAACCAAACACCCCCTTAGACACCTTGCCATTTAGAGCATCTACAACTACAATAAAAATCAGAGGTGATAATGGGTAGCCTAGCTTTAGACCTCTCCTATAATGAATCTCCTTTCCTATTTCTCCATTGGTCATCATGATTGCTAGATATACCATTGCACAGTGGCGGAGCTACATAGTGTCATGTGATGTCACAGGGCATCATTACCCAAATTTTCATTGGCTTGCCAATTTTCCAGCAAAACCCCATCATGTGTGTGTTGAGTGATCAATTAATCTGTGTTGAAGCGCTGGGTTGAACTCCATTAATTATGTGGCAGTGGGTTAGGCGGGTTAAGAACTAACCCTAAAATCCTCTATTCTCCAAAATTGGACAAATTCGCCCGCTTTCTAAATATCATCTATCATCTACCCTTTAAAAGAGGGAGTTCATGAAAAACTTTTCCCTCCCCAAACTAACCTTCAACCAATTTAAATATACCAAGCTTATCCTTATAATCGTTAAACAGATTTCATCATCCTCGTCGAAAATCCAAAGACCTAAGATTTCCGTCGGTTACGCCTTTCTCTTCGCCCACCAGTTCATCGGTTACCCTTCTTCTCAGCCCATCTCCTCAGTTCATCGGTTACGTCGTCCCACGTTCTTAACCCTTCAATTTCCAAAGATGAGTATTATTGCCCTAATCATCAACGCCACGCCTCCGCCATCATTTCCTCATTTCTCAGAATTTTGTCATTAGTTAGGATCAGGAAGGAATTTCATTGAAGAAGGTATTTCTAAATTTTACCTATGCTTTTTAAATTTCAAACGAATTCTACGTATGATTTGAATCGTTATTTCTGCTCAATTCACCCTCTCACCTTTTTGTTCTTCATTCCTTTTATTTTGTTCTAATTTTGCTCTACTTCTCGATTTCCTACAGTTTCAAGGGACAAGTGTTTCAATTTTCAAACAGCAACTGTAGCGAGATTAGAAAGTAAGTTCGATGATTTTGAAATTTATTTGTATATGCGCTCTGTTTCTTGGATTTATTAGCTTGTTGAGCGCCTCTTTGGCCGTTAAACGGATGGATTCCAGGTCTAGGGTTGTCCGAATTTAGGGCTTGCTTTCAAGTCTTCATCTTGCTCCTGTGTCAATTTCATCAGGTAAAAATTCAATTGTTAATTTTTTGAATTTTTTTAATTTGAGAAAAAGGTATGATCTTTAGGGAGAAATTAGTGGAACTTATCTGGGATCTGATTACCCAGAAACATGGCCATAATGAGGAATGGGCATGGCCATGGGTATGGTGATGGTCATCCATGGGTATACATTTTTATCATCAATCTTACACATCTTATTTTGAGAGACCTTTGGCAAAAGCCTACACAATAACACTACGCAAATATAATGAAAGACAATAAACCAACCACACAGCCCAAAAAACACAAGGGCTCCGACCCACCCGTCCGGCCCGAACAACAAGCCCGCCCCGGTCGGCTGGCCCGCCCGGCACCCTCATCGCCCCCACCTGTCGGCCCGCCGCAGTCCGCCCTGTTGGCTAACCACCGGCCACCTGCCGCCGCCGCCCACCGCTGGCCCTCCCTGTTTTTCGTCCCGGCCACCCGTCGGCCACCACCCCAGCCGACCACCCGCCAAACCGCTGGCCCCGCCCGTCGCCTGTCCGCCTAGCACCATCTCCGTCGCCAAGCTGCCGCCACCTCGTCGCCACTACCTCGCTGGTAGCCGACCAATGCGTCGTTCGTCGATTCTCGTCTCCCGCCGCCACCTGCCACCCGCCCGTTCGCCGTCCGCCCACTGCCGCTATATAAATGGTCAAACTAGTTTGACCAAAATGGTGTTTGCAAAACACATTTGAAAAAAAAACACCATGACATGATGTTTTTTACAAAAACACAAAAAAAAACATATTATTTACCAAACACATCCTAGTGTTTGGTTGGAAAACAATCAGGCAAAAGCTACAAAATTTTGCCATATAAGAAAACTTTTGTGTAGATAGTTTTTGCGTTAGGATCTAAACAGATTTTTTTTTGTGATGAGGTGTAGTTATTTTTTATTTTTTATTTCTCTTTTTTTAATCATGCAGTTTTTCTTCCTACCAAATTAGTCGTAACATTTGTTTCAAGTTTTTTTTCTACAGAGTGCAAGTCCATTTATCTTTCTTAGGGCTTGTTTGTTTGCACGGAAGTAATTGTGAAGTAATTGAAGTAAAAGAAGTAAAAGATACTTCTGCTACTTCCAAACAAAAAAGTATGTTTGGTTCTCTGAAAAACTTACTTCTAATACTTCCTTAAATGCTTATGTGGCGCCTACGTGTCATCCTTACTTCCAAAATATTTTTCCAATACTCAATACTCAGAAGTAGCTTGAAAGTAGTTGAAATGCATATTAATTAGGACATAAATAAATTTTTTTATTAATATTTTCTTTATTAGTTATTTCTAACAACCTTTCATTGATAAAATTACTTCCTAGTAATATTTCCAAATGTTATCCAAACAAAAAAAAGTAAATGAAGAGGAAGAAGTTTTACTTCTAAAAATATATGAAACAAACAAAAAAAATGCTATTTCCACTACTTCCTACTTCATAGCTTTGAAAGTTACTTCTATAACCTACTTCTTACTTCTAATACTTCCATTATCCAAACGGGCCCTTAATTTCAAAGTTGTAATCAAACAGTATATTTACATATCTGGTTGCTCTATTTATATTCGCAACTTTATTTTCGTCCAG